CACACACACACACACACACACACACACACACACACACAACAGACACGCACTTACACACCATCAGCGTGGCGCAGCAGCTGTTTTCTGCAGCTTTTTTGTTTGTTTTGTTGTGTATTTTTTTTAAACCTTTTTCCTGCTTGGTTGTGTAGTCATGTGTGAAAAATCAGAAAGGGAGAGGAATAGGTACAGAGATAGGTAAAGAAGAGGTGTTTAGGGTGTTGGTAACCAGGGGCAACCAGTTAAAATGTTTTATTTTGGGTTGTTTTTTTGTTGTCTGATTTGCGTAAAGGGGGAAAAAAAAGTTGTGAGTCGTGGAAAGAGTTGTGAGGGTTTTTTCTGCCCCGGTCTCTCCCAGCTGTTCCTGTGACGTCACGGGGAAGGGGGAGGGTCTCCTTTTGGGGTGATTTACCGGCCTCCCCAGGGGGGGGGGGGGGGGGGCTAGAGTGATGTAAACACGGATAAAAATGTGGCCAGGTTCTCGGGGACCTCAGTCTGGAGAAACGAGTTTAAGCTTTCACTACAAAAGCCTCTGCTGCTGTTTTTTAATTTATTTTTTTGTGGATCTACCTCTGTTATTCAAACCTCCAGCTGCTGTAGACGCCGCACTACTCGGACTAGTTGATCTGGATTTAAACCATTTTGGGCTTTTGTTGGCTTTTTTTTTTTCCCCTCACCAACCACTACCTCCTGATTTTATTATAAAAAAACAAACAACAACATTTCTCTGGATTTTGTCCTCAGATTCCGCCGTCAAACATGTTACCCAGTTCTGCTCAGTCTCCGGACTGGCTTTACTCCGAGCCGCTGCTGTTCGACGAGGACTTCTGCCAGACTCTGATGAAAGACCTCCAGTCCCTGCCCACCCCCCCGCAGTCCCCCCCCATGAAGGCCGGGCTGGGCGAGGGCAAGCCGCTCTCCCAGGAGGACCAGCTGAGCTACGTGTCGGACATCCTGCTGGAGGACCAGGACATGCAGCATCTGGGCTGGACGTCCGACTTCTTCCACTCGAAGGAGGAGGATGAGGAAGAGGGGGAGGTTGAGGGGGGGGCCGGGGGGGAGGACTGCCTGTGGCAGTGCCTGGTGACGGACCGCAGCCTGGAGGAGAAGCTGGTCTCCTCCATGCTGGGCTGCAGCCCCCTGCTGTCCGACATCGACACCAGCATCTTCGAGGAGATCGCCGGCTCCACGCTGGACTGCCAGAACCTGCTGGCCGCCGCCGCCGCGCAGGACGCCGGCGAGGCCACGTCCGACTACGGCTCCACCGGGGGCGAGATGTCCACATACTCGTCCAGCGACTCCGGTGAGTGGAGACCGGAATCTGCCCGGACTTTAATCCCTCTGTGTGTGGTCGTGTGTGTGTGAATCCCTCTCTCTCTCTCTGTGTGTGTGTGTGTGAATCCCTCTCTCTCTCTCTGTGTGAATCCATCTCTGTGTGTGTGAGTGAATTCCTCTGCGTGTGTTTGTTTTCATGATATATCAGGACAATTTTGTGAATGCACACCTTCAATACCAGGACGCGTAGAAATAGGAGGACACTTTTCATGTCCTCATTTTTCTGAGTATACGTGAGTGTTCTAGAAGCCCCAAAATACCTCTAAACCAAATATCTCTATAGTTCTAAGAACCTTTGGAAAGCCACCTAAACATTCGTCTTATTTCTGTCATGTGTCCTTGTATATGAAATGAAAACACGTATGTGTGTGTGTGAATCCCTCTGTCTGTGTGTGTGTGTCTTATCAGAGCGACCGGCCTCCGTCCGATCAGAAGCATTGATAATTCATTAATGTTTGGCGCTCGGCCCCCCTCTTTTGACCCCGGGGGGGGGGGGGTACAACTGGCTGCTTCCAGTAAACACGATAGTGGTTTCACGATGGTGGTTTCACGCTCGGTTGTAGCAGCTGTTCCCTCGTTTATTCATCAGAGATGGAATGAAGTCGTCCTGCTGACAGGATCAGACTGTTGTCGTTCTTTGTGTTTAACCTTTTGTGCGACTGAAGTTGTTTAGTAGTTTATCTCCAGCTAATTGACTTTAGTTTATATTTAACAAACTTACTAACTTCCACTATGTGAACTTTAAACTAACTTAGCTGATTCATTTTATTACATTTTTATATTTTGTATATATTTTTCTATGACTTTGACATCATACGGGTCAAATATTTGATCGAATTATCCGTTGTATGTTGGAAAATTCCTATTTAAGCAATCGTTTTTGCTCTATATGGAAACTATTCTGCATGTCTGATTTTTCTTTTTTTTTTTTAGTTGAGTCCACGTGGTGTGTTGTGATGATGTCACCTTTCACACACTGACCTTCCTGTTGTTGTTGTTGTTTCTCCCGCTAACAGAGGAGGAGATTGACGTGGTGACGGTGGTGCGGTGCCCCTCCCGCCTCTCGCCCTCGCCGTCCGACTCCTCGTCGGCACGGAAACGGCGCCAGCAGCAGCTGGAGGAGGAGCAGCGCGCCCTGCAGCGCCACAGCTTCGAGATCCAGCTGCAGCACAACTACGCCGCGCCCTGCCCCGCCTCGCCGCCACCCCCCCCCCTCCTCCAAACGCTCGCGGGGGGGCGAACCCCGCCCGCACCACGCCTCCCGCAGCTCCTCCTGCTCCTCGTCCTCCTCCTCCTCGCGGTACCACCACCACCACCACTCGTCCAGGAACTCGGCGGAGACGGAGGACGAGGAGGAGCGGCGCCGGACTCACAACGTGATGGAGCGCCAGCGCCGCAACGAGCTGAAGAACTGCTTCGTGCGGCTGCGCGACAACGTGCCCGAGCTGTCGCACAACGACAAGGCCTCCAAGGTGGTCATCCTCAAGAAGGCCCGGGACTGCATCTACGGCCTGGAGGGCGAGGGCCACCGGCTGCAGAGCCGCAGGGACAAGCTGAGGGCCAAGCAGCAGGAGCTCAGGGCCCGGCTGGAGGCGCTGCGCAGCTAGTGGGGGGCCGGCACAAACCAAAATGAAGGGGGGGGGGGGATGGGAAACGCACAGACACACGTACCTCGACCTCCGGGGATCCACGGATCCGGACTGTGTATCCACACTGGTTCCCCAACGCCACAGACTGAATTCCTCCCGATTGATCGATCTGCTCACGCCTTTTTCTGCCGACTGTTTTTGGTTGTGTTTGGTGGTTTCTTTGTGTAGTCTTTTTTTTGTTTTGTTTGTTCCCTCCCTTTCTCGCGCCACATTTCGGGGATGCCAAACGGCCAAATGACCCGGAGCCACCGTAGCTCAGCGTTTAGCAGACGGAGTGAACTTGAACATTGTGTCTTACAGCCATATTTCCGAGCGATTTTTCCTCGGAGTCGTTTGAGCTGCAGCCGGACGCCGGTTCACCGTGTGGGACGCAGCCGTATCGAACCTAGCTTTCAGCGCCGCCAAAGCCGGGACAAAAACCACTTCTCCTGACCGGTGTGGCTCCCACGCCACCACAGGCCGTCTGTTATTTACCGTCAGGAATTCTCCAACAGCAGGGATGTCTGTTCCATCGCTCAGTTTGTCTGTTCCGACGTTAAATGTCTCCATCATTCACAAATCTGTTACAGAAAACAGAGCTTCCTTGTTTATTTTCTTTCTCTTCTCTGGCTAAATGGCCCCCTCCATGATGTTGTAATACTCTGAAAATCAAGGCCACACATGAGTTTTCTTCTGTTTTTCTGGGGCCTGACTACAGAATGAATGAGAATCCTACACACAGTATGAAATAAAGCCGCTGATTCTGACCAACATTCCCCAGTTTTTCTAAGCAAACACCCCCCCCCGCTGGTTTAGTGAGGCCTGGGGGGTCCCACCTGGTGTTGTGCTGGTAATAATGAAGCGCATACATGACTGAAAACTGCATGTGTGTAGCACAACGTCTTAACGTCTGGTTTAAGGGTTCTCCCTCCCGTTTTTTAGAGGATCGACCGGATCCTGGTTTGTGGGAGGTGTTTGTTGTGATCACAAAAAGCCGTTTGGCCTCGAGATGCTTCATTTCATCGATTTTCGGCTGCTGTCTGGTTAAAATGGCTCCTCCTTCCGTAAGCGGGTAGCTTGACCCTTCGCTTCCCCTCCTGCTTCACTTCTTTTTGTAGATATTCAGCCTCAGAGTTGCCTTTGAAGATGTGGAGATTTTAACCAGACAGCAGCCTTCTTCTTGTCTAAATGAAACTTGGCAATCCTACCTCCACCTGACAGCAGTTGGGCATGTAAATGTTTGTTTTTGTTTTTTAATTGTACAGAGGTTATTGTATCATAAATTATTTTAGTCTTTTTTCGTTGTTGTTCATGGTTCCTTTTTTTGAGTTTAAAAGGACAGCACAGTTTTTTTTCTTTTTTAAAAGATATTGAAATAAAATTGAAAATGAGTCAAAAGTTTGGTTGTTTGAAAATTAATTGGAACCGAGTTCTTTTGATCTCCGCATAGGTTAATAAAAGTGCTGCACACTGACCTTTGAGCAGGTTTTCGGGCCTGGGAAGACCACCGTATGTGCATGACGGGCATCCAAAAATAGCCCTATTGGCTGATTTTTGACCACAGAATGAGGATGTTTCTGTACTCCAGACTGTTGTTGGTTTACCACATAAAATACACAAATTGCTCCAAAACCTTGGCTTATAACTAGACCCAGGAGCTTCGCACTGGTCCAGATGTGAGGTTCCTAAATGTGATCTCAATGAGATTGGGCTGCTTGGATATAAATGAGTAACATAGAATGTCACACTACCGATTAGAAGAATCAAGATCCATTAGCAATTGTTGAATAAAATTGTCTTTCGATTTGCTTCTTATATTGAATTTGGGGTGTTAGAGGGACCAGATCCAGATGGACTCATAACTGGTCCATCACCAAAGGGCTGAGAGGCTTCATTTAGACTCACCTCATTTGTTTTTCAAGGCTTGGAGCAGCGGTTACAAATGTAAATCCACTGTAGGGAATGATAAAAACCTGTTTTTAAAAAAGTATGCAAATGGAAGAGGCTGCATCCGTCCTCCCATTGATCCCACAGACCCGATCCAAATTCAGGCCTTTCTCCAGGGAGGGTGGTGTGAGAAGCCTGTCCATCCACAGGCCGGACCAGCAGAAATCTATATTTGAGAAGGCTTGAGATGCTTACGTTACAGATTCAAAGTACAAAAAAGTTTTTTTTTTTTATGGGTCGGACCTAGAGAACATCAGGCCTCGATGGTCCTGTGTCACCAAAAGGAAATCCCTGTGGACTACTGACCTCTGAAAACCAGCTTCTGAGCTCTAAACAGATCAGGACCTCCAGTACTTTTTACCTTCTGGCCTTTAAAGGTCAGTTAGGCACCTGGAAGTGAAGTTTCCTCTCATCCAAGAGGCTCCATCGGTTCTTTTGATGGTGGAGAGCATCCTCTTGGATCAGAGACCAAATGTTCTCCAGAAAACTTCCACGTTGTCCAGTTGCCTAGCTGGACCTTCAAGCTGGACCATGACCTGGATGACTGGGGATCTTCCCCGATTTTTTACCTTCTGAAAAAGATCGTGCATGGGTTATTTTAAACAGAATAGGCTTCCGGTTCTTGAGGAGCCTCTCCAACTCATCTATCGAGAGCAGAAACATCAAGCATTGATACTTTCAAACAGAATAGGCTTCCAGTTCTTGAGGAACATCTCCAACTCCTTCTCAAGAGGAGAAATCCCTGGATTATTGTGTCCACGGGATCTGGGATATGGCGAAAACCACAGAAGAAAAAGAAAAGACGGCTTTCTGGACCTTTCTGTGCACATAAGGGATGTTATATAGAAGAGTGAGATGGGGCCAAATGTCATGCCGGCTTTCTCATCAAATCCAAATAGATTACAAATGAGGAAAGCGGGCGGATGTTGGAAAAGCCTTGGTTCTTCTTTTTTCTTTTTTTTGTGTGTGTGTTTGTTTTTTGCCGCAGCAGTAAAAAACGTGCCCCCCCGTGCGCACCTGTCACGCGTCCCTATCTCCCCACCATGGCGACGTGTAAAACCCCTCCCCGGGGCCAAAGTATTGGGCCGCACAGGTAGGGGTTGCGCAACCCCAGCCAGGGCCATGCGGGGCCCTGTGTGTGTGTGTGTGAGTGTGTGTGTGTG